CAATGCTCTCAGCACAGATTGTATGAGTCCAAGGATATTGGTGGTAACAGCGATGGCCATATTACAGTGTTGGTACCCACATCACACTCAAACACTGAGCCCTTATGCCCTGTATAGAAGCACCTGCATTTGTTAAGTCTCCACACTCATATATTGTATAAGTCTTGCCTTTCATTTGTCACCGGTCAGTACAGATTTAAAACCATATGCTTTACTGTTTTCAAAATAATCAGTGGTGTGACATCATCATGCTCTAATCAATATTTTATTTAAACAAATGACAGTGTGTGTGAAAGGGATCGCTTGTGGCGATGAAGAATCGACACTGACTCGACAATTCCCTCTCAGCTCCGCGGAGCATTTTCACATCTCACATTCATCTCACTGTTTTGATTTCATGGTGTCCTTCACCAGTTTCCACCAAAAAAGCTCTAAAATCCCACAGTAATAAAATATTGCACTTACACTCATCAGGTGGCAAAACACACAATCCAAATGAATACTAATGTGACTTCATATCTGCCTAATGTGTAAATAAGTAACTTAACTAGCAGAGGGTTTCCCAACTTAAAAGGTTATAATCTGTCAATGTTTCCAGCTCGTTTACACGTTCCAATATGTCTCTTGCAATGAGCAGAAATTAGAAAATCTTCTTGTCTTAATAATGTCAATAGAAAGTGAGTAAAAAAAACGGTGAGGTGATGCTAATTAGCAGCTAATTATTAAGAAAAGTTGCTCCAAGTGAGAAAGAAAATGAGATACTCCAATAAGACGGAGTGTCTGCTGCAAATTGTATTTTTAAAATCAGACTTTCACCCAGATTTTTATATTATTGATTCTTTAATTGATTCCTTTTTTTTTTTTTTGCTGTGGTTCACACTGAGAGATTCTGTGATTTTTAAAACCGTATACTGTAAACCCCTAATTCACATAGAATAAATCTGACAAGAGCTATTATAAGATATACAGTGAATTCAGCTCTTAGTAACTGCATTGCCATGGCAATAACGCTGCTGTAGTATCAGCAGCAGCAGCAGAAGAAGAAGAAGAAGCAGCAGCAGCAGACCTACTTTAGTTTTTCTCTCTGACTGTCTTTGCTACCATTAGGCAGCAGTAAAGGGTGGCAGGATGGAGTTGTGCTGATAGTTGCTTTTAGTCGGTGGCTTCCAGCCTTCTTGCAGCTCGCATCCTGAGGGAGCTGTAGCTTAAGAGTGGTGGTGGTGGTGGTGACTGAGGAGTGTGGGGGTCGGCTGGCGGTTATTGGGCGCTCTGGGGACAAGCTGCCTTTCTGTCCCTTTTGGTACTCTCTCCATCAACCCCTGCGTCTCCCACCGCCGCCGCTGCCCTCTCGCCTTTTTTCTTGCACTGATGCAGTGGATTCTCTTTCAATCTCATTTTTACCCCCCCCCCCACCCCTCTCTTCTCCACACACAACACATATACTGCCTTCCCCCACAGTGCTGATAGAAGCACACAGGCACTTTGTTGGAAAACATCAGTGCAGAGTGGAGTGGATGTATCAAGAGCTGAGGAAGGCAGGGAAAAAGAGGGGATAAAAACTTTGTTCTACCCAGCACTTCATTTCAATAACCCTTTCCCGAGTGATACGAGGGGAGAAAAGGGTTGGATACATGTGTGTGCGTGTGTGTGTGTGTGTGTGTGTGTGTGTGTGTGAGGGGGGGGGGGGGGGGGGGGGGGGCACAACAGGGGGGTGATAGAGATGTATGGAAAACTATGAATGCAAGAGAATCGTGGGTACAGATTTGCGCCTGGGGAACATGAGGGAGAGGTGAGTGTGAAATATAAAAATTTGAAAAATCTTGGAGCGGAATGAACAAATGAAGATGGAGGAACGATCACAAATGAGAGGATGTGAGAGGACTGGGGAGATTGAAAAAGTTGGGATGAGTCACAGACAAAAAAAAAAAAACTGAATAAAAAGGGGGAGGAGAGTCAAAGAGGGCTGCAAGAAAGAGATGACAGCAGCTCGGGTGATGAAAAGGAAGAGAGGTAAAAACCAAAGAGAAGAGAGCATCTGAGAAAAGGGACGGACAGAGAAAGCGTAACAAGAGGGAGCGAGAACTGAGCAGAGCAGAGCGGGGCAGGGAAAGAGAGGAAGAAGAGAAGTGACGATGGCTCGCAGCGAAATGTAAAGAAGAAGGTGAGAAAAAGCAGAAGTTACGAAGGAAACTGGCACATAAACTATCAACATGCGGATGTGAGAGTTATGATGACAGAGCTGAACCAGACTCTCTTCTCAAACTACTAGGAAATAACTCTAAGCGCTTATTTTAAACTACTTCCTTTACCAGGCGAGAGGAGTCAGCCTCGTGGGATGACGCAGAAATTTTTGACAATCTCAGTAAAGTAGAGTCGTTTCACATACTGGAAAAGTGTGTGTCATTGTGTGCATTGTGCTAATGTGGTATATTTCCTCCAATCTGCCAGAAAGGATAGGGGGAAACAACTGCAGAGCCTATTTGCCTATTTGCAAAGCCTTATTTGATCCAGGTTTGAACTGCTGCTCAAAGATGGGAGGAATTATTTATGAGTCAAGAGAGGCTGGCAGACAGCTCATGAACGTTCGTTGACTGAGCGTCTGACAGGGATACAGAGAAAAGTAAACGGATAAATAAACAGCTAAACATGTCCAACCTATTTCTTGGAAGCTATTATCAAAAGTGGCTCATGGTATTGTGACTACGTATATTTCCACATGAAGTGGCCCTCATGGGAACTACGCGCCTCACACTGATGAGCACTTTCCAATTATCCTGCACTGGACGTAAGAAGTCCCAAGTCAGTCTCAAACTGTGAGAGCGGAATCTCTGGAGACGAGCGCAACACTCAGCAATCAGAATAAAAGCCGAGGCGATATCAAAGACTGAAATAAGATCTAATAATGGCATATTAGCAACGGTTGGTATCGTTTCATCTGCATCATTCATGCCAAGTTTCATGAAAAGTAATATCTAGGAGGTGTTCTCACATATTAGGACAACGAGGTGCATTGCATGGAAAGTGGAGACCGCCCCGACTGAAATGTGGATTGTTAAAGAGCAAAACTGGCATCGATCTATATTTTTAGCCACAGTAGCAGCGTGGCTCGAGGGGTGGTAATGTTGGTCGCTCAGTCAGTCCACCTCAGCGTGAGTTACCAGACCTGTAGACTTTTTGTCCTGTTCTTATTGACAACAAATCATGTGAAAACACCAAAACCAACAGTGTGTTTGTCCGTCTCTCAATACAGAACTTTTCCCCCCCCCCCCTCGTCTGTGGCAGTCAGCCCCAAGACAGTTTGTCAAAACTGAAGATTTTAATCTATATATAATATAAGTTGCTCTCAAATAAATAGTTTCATTTAAAAAAGGCTCAGCATTTAGTTGGTATCAGTGTATTTAGACTATGGCCCTCTTCAGGCCTGGCATTATCACCCGTCTCAGGTGATCTGATCACACGTGGACAGCTCTAAGTAAAGGTGTGAACGAACCGACAACGCAATGAGGACGCATTTGAGATCCGATCGGTGAGACCACAGTCGGAGGTGGAGTGGTCCACACGTGTCCTCTGCCACAGTCTGATTAGTCCCGACACGGCTTCACAATGAACGGAAAATATTTAACTATTTCAAATGGCTAAAACCTTATTTCATTGTAGAGCTGTGAGCAGCGCAATGATTCCCTCAACCACTCCTTGTTCTGCTCTCTCTCTCTCTCTCTCTCCCTGTCTAACACACTGACAACAGACCCGTCTGTCATAGTTGGACTGGCTTAAAACAACAACTCACACGTGTTTATTTGCATAGAGAGCGGGGAAGTGAGATCCAATCACAAGTGATCACTTGAGACGCCTGTGGAGATGCATTCTAATGCCAGGTGTGAACTGACGTGCCTGGAGCTGTCCACTTGTGATCGGCTCACCCGAGATGCATGTTAATGCCAAGTCCGAACAGGGCCTATTTTTTTGATGTGGATTAATACTACTGAGTATTTATGGCACCGGCATGGTGAACTTGAAATAAACTACAGTGCCCTGTAGTGTAATGAAGGAATATGTCACCCAGTGCAACAGTGTGGCTCATTGATGTTTTATTTAATAGTTTTTGAACAACAATGGTGGTCTACAGCACAGGCGAAAGAGCTGTATCAGGCTCCGGCTACACAGACAGTAATTGTTAGTCGGATAAATTCATTGTTGTTTTTGGTCTTTTCATGGGATTTGTTGACAAAAAGAAAAATGTTGAGTAAAGCCATCCTTATCCTTTAATTGACAAAGACTATTGAAGATAAAAGAAAAGCTGCCAGGCTATTCATTTTTAATTCTGTCATAAATGTCTAGTAAGCTTCTCTTTCCTTGTGTGATTTGGATTTACTGATTTTAAACATCAGTCACTGATGCTTTTAGTATGTAGTTATGTAAGTAATAAAAAAATTAATTAAAAAAAAAAAAAAAGGTAAATAAAAATCAGATCTGTGTTCGGCCTCAACAGATTCTCAGTTTTAAAAGACTTGGATTGGACTGCAAACAAAAAAAAAACCTCATGGGCACATTAATTCAAAAAGCGAGGTAGAATCAGCCGTGTCATGCCAGCGCTATTAGAAAAAAACACAGTGATGAAGTTTCTTTAAACAAGTTGATTTGCATGAATATGAGCTGTATGAGCGTAAAGCAGTTAAGTAATGAAAAGGAAAATGCCTCCCAAGCATAAACAAATGTAGAAAATTAACCAAACAAAATGCTACCATCAAATTAAGTTACTTTTAATACTATTGTATTAACCTCGTATTAACCTCACCCAAAGCTGTGTTTGTATTCCTCCACAGCGCTTACGGCTACGTCTTTGTTCTCTTCCTCCTATGTCTTCTGTTTGCTTTGATTGTGAAGCACTTTAATGTAGAGAATGCTATAGAAACAAGGCTGTTCTTATTGAAGTGTTTGTAACCACTGAAACGGAGAAGACCACACACACACACTGAAATGTGATAACCAAGTGTCCTTACCCGATGATGGGATGTTTGAAGCCCAGCTTGGCGGTGGTCTGCTGGATCTCCTTCTCCAGCCAGGCCTGCGGGCGCACCAGGTACTTGACAAACTGGGACACCCACCAGACGGAGGGGTCACCATGCAGACGGTGCAGGCGTGGGGCCAGGTCCTCGGGGATTGCCAGAGGAAGGTAGGGGGGCCGAGGGTGGAGACTGTCCACTATGGGCAACTCCACAACTTGGACGTCCTTATCATGGGCCTCTCCTAGACGAGCCGAAGAAGAGCAGGTGCAGAATGAGACAGTGAAGATTCGACACTTCATCAACATGTATGACAGCACAAGTTTAAAGCTGTAACTAGTGATTATCTTCATAATCATCAACAGACATTACTTTTGTTTATTCATCCGTTGTTTAGTATATAAAACTGCTCATCACAGTTTTCCCAGAACCAAAAATGATGACTTCAGATTACTTGTTTTGACCAATCAACAGTCCAAAACCCAAAGATATTCCATTTACAATGATACACAGCAGAGATTAAAACAGCAAATGCTCACGTCTGTGAAGCTGAAAACAGCAAATGTTGGACTGTTGGGCATTTTCCCCTCATAAATGACCTACATGATTAATGGATTATCTACATTGTTGACTTATTTTTGCAGATTAACTAAACATCTGAGAGATGCTCGAGTTAAAAACAGCAGCAGGGTGACCTGGGGGTGAAAGAATTTTTTTTCTTTACTTTTTTTGTCCCAGTTAAAGGGACTTACTGGGGACTTAACCGAGGTTCAAACTTTGTTCCAGTAAAAGGTTTATTGGGCAATTTCAGGTAAGACAACCTTCATGCTATGCACAGCTTCACCCATGCTCAGGTCTGAAAGGAGCTAATCAGTCCAATAACTGACACATGTTGAGCCTGTCTTTTTTTTTTTTTTTTTTAACTTAGGGATCTACTATACATTATAAATGCCACCATTTTATTGTCATAATTAAAAACATATTACATTGTGATGTAGGGTGATATTTTAATGTTCCTCCTCAGCTCTGTTATTGCTGTTCTGTTCCAGCACAAATCCAAATCCCCCAACCCCAGAGAGTCCAGGTTTTGTCAGGTGACTGACAGCTGCTCTTTGCTTGTCCTTGCTTAAAGGCCAAGGTAAGCTCCTTTCAATCAAGGCCATGTAGGGCCAGAGGCTGAGGCAGGGACCTGGATTGGAGAGGGTTGGGTTGGGGTGGGGTGGGGTGGGTGGTGGTCTGACGTTGGCCCCTTCAGGCTGAATCCTGCTTGGCAGAAGCCCTGGGCAGAGGGTTGAGCGGGGCTGAATACGAAGGTCACCTCTCTGGGCGGCAGAAAGCCCCCATGCACTGCCAGACCTCCATACACACCGAGTCCAACCATCTGTACACACACACACACACACACACACGTGCATGATACACACCTGCATGTGTAAACAAAGGTGGAAAACATACACCCACCAACATGCATCCACAAAAATGCACATAGAAATGTGTACACACACACACACACACACANTGCTGTAGTCCAGCGGGCTCTACGTGCTCGCTACTGTGCAGTCAGGAGCAACCAAACTGAGCCAGAGAAGCGAAAATGGCTTCGTTGTCCTCCGCTCTTTCAAAAAAAAAAAAAAAAAAAAAAAAAAAAAAAAAAGTGGTCCAGTCGTGGGGATCCAAATAACATAACAATGAAAAGAAATGTGCATTTACACACGCAAACGCACACACATACACTCACACACAAAGAACCCAAGCTAATCTCATCTCACCAGAAGGGATATGCCTGGCAGACACAACCTTCACTCTCTTTTAGTCTTAAAACCCGAGGAGGTTTTTTTTTGTGTATGTGTGTGTGTGTGCATGTTTGTGTGTGCGTGTGTGTGTGTGCATGTGCAAACCCCTGATTTATGTAAAAATAAGTTTAAGGTCCATGTTCTGTCAGACTAAAGTGGCTTCTTTAACTGCCACAGACAGGCTCTAATACAGCTGCAAACACAGCCTCCGCAACACACTTCCAAATAAATGGCATAATGAGTCATTAAAAATGGCCTTTCACAGAAAGGGTACACAAAAAAACAAAAAAAAAAAGGACAGACACAGAGGCTTCAGTTTGTGTGTGTGTGTGTGTGTGTGTGTGTGTACATGCTGGAGCATGAACTGAATATAAATTGGTAGAAGCATTAAATATTGAACTGAAAAAATATTCCCAGCCCTGTCTTTGCTTATATAACAATATTGGCATGATTCACATAAGGGGGAATGGGCATATTTCGAGGCCTGCACTTCTTGGCACAAATGTACAGATATGCAGTATGTCTTCCTCCCACAGCTACTTAATTAGATCACAAAGCTCTTCTAAATTTCATCTCAAGCCTCTGCATACATTTCTTGTATACATCATGACTTCAAGCATATGGGTCTGCACTGACACTGACACAGAATGCCTATACTGTTTTTAAACCCGCGATGCATACTGAGGCTAATACATTTTTCAGATTAGCATTGCTATGAAACTGGAGAAGCCGAGAGTGACACCATCCAGATAAAAAAAAAAAATACGGAGCCTCTCCATTCATAATACATTTGAGACTGAGTTTATGAACTTAGAGAAATTCTGTTCCAGTCTTTAAATGGCGGGGAACATTATGTTTCTCCCGCTGCTCTCAGACTCACTCATAAGGCAGTAATATCTCCACAGAGAACCTCAAAGGAATACACTCTCTTTGGCAAATTAGCCCTTTGATCAACGAACCATTGTTCCACAAGAAGACTGGTTTCCCCCTGTGTGTGTTCAGAATTTAGTCTTTTACCAGACCTGTGAGGTGACGCCGAGTTCTCTCATGCTGTCCGCTGAACATAAAGGTTGTAGTAAAAGACCAACACGCACCAGTTGGCTCAATAGACAGTGGGGCTGGGTATCAAAACTCATTGCTGTCTTTTTGGTGAGAATCAAAAAGTGCGAAAAACTGGCATTGAACGTTTGTACAGATTTGTATTTGTGGTTCCTAATTAAAATCAAAGTGTTGCCAATTTTGAATTAAGTGTTTGTTTTTTTTTCCGGCTTTCCAGCTTTAGTTTTGGTGCATTGACTTGTGCTTAGAGAACATTTGTTTTTCCCATTTGAGATCTTTTGGCTTCTGGGTTTTGCAGAAAAAAACATGTTTATATTTCTTAAAGTAAGGCATCAAAGAAAGTATTCTCCTGGTGTCCATACTGGTTTATATACTGTATGTCTATATACGATACTGGCACTAGTATCGAAAAGAGTTCATAAGATAATCCACTCACAGAGGAGAAACAAGTTTTTCGTTCTCATTACATAATCACAATCTAATAAAATAGATCCAGTATAGATTCAGATTTGTAAACATGTCCTAACTGAAAGCAAAAATTTAGAGTCATGTAAGGTTTTTTTACATTTAGACACACTTAAAAACAAAAACTCTGTAGAAAAACATGCAGGTATTTTTCTAAGTCAGGCACCAAAAAATGTATCTTTTGGTGTCAGAACCAAAATTAGCATATTGCATCAGCACTTGTATCCAGTACCAAGAGAAAGACACAGTGAGTAATCCTTTATCAATATCCCATTAGATAACCATGGGATATGGGTGTATTTTTTAATAGTTTTGATGTCAGAAAAATATGTGTGTACTGTATCAGCAGCAGTATCAAAAAAAGTCAACTGTATCTGAACCTAAAAGAGGGACACGTCGCAGGTTGAGGCCAACTTTTATCAATGTCTATTCTATTTCTCTGATTTTTTTCATGGTAAAATCAACATATAACTTTTTTTCAGACACAAAGCAGATCACATAGGGAAACCCTGTATGTCATGAGTATTTTCATATTGATTTTCTTGTTCTCTTTTGTATTTTCCCACTTGCAGACGGAAAATCAGCAGGTCCCCTAATGACTTCATCACTATCTTTGATTTTACTCTAAAGCTGCATGTTTCCCTGACAGAAATACCCTGTTGCTGATGCATATACCATACATCCTCCGGGTGGGGTGGGGGTGGGGGGGTGGGGGGGGCTTTAACGAGCAGAAGACTTTTCTGTGTGAAGGTGACCACAGAGGATTGGTGGCATAACAGTGTCCTGAAGGTGAGGTAATGTGCAAAACCCTTCATCATCATCTGAAATCATCTGCATGGTGGGTAACACTTGTTACCCATAAAATAAAAAAGGCCAAAATAACACTTGCAAATTTCTGGGCTTGCAGATCAGTATTCACTACATTTAAAACATTGTAATTCTACTGGCATGGGCAAAAATTCCACTTAATTAGTGAGATATTCAATGTATATCTACTTATTAATCCAAGGCTTTAGCATCCCTTAGTGGTCCAGTACCCCGAGGAGTGTTCTTGCCTGCACTGTTAACAAAACAGGCATGACCACAGGCGTAGCCAAGTACCCAACAGGCTTACATTAGCTCTGCCTAGCTAGTTAGCTGGCTTGGTCAACAGAAAATACTGCCTCTGCAAATCCCAGGACTCTATAAGAACGAGAATTCAGGATGCTAAGAGGCCTGAGGAGGGGAGTGGTGATATGTAGTGAGTTGGCTGTTGGCTACGAGCAGCCGGATGGCATATATGGATCTATAGGAGGCTGTTCCTAAGACACCAGAGGAAGACGTTAGATCGTGGAAAAAGGACACATGAAAGGCAGGAGAATAAGAAAGGGAAGGCGTTGGGAGAGTGGGAGATAAGAAGGGAGACCCCAGGAGAGCACAAGTCAAATGAAGCGATAGGAGAGAAATGAAGAGCTGGAAGGTTGCAGCGATGAGAAGAAGAAAGCAATGAGAAAGAAAGCGATAGAGAGCGAGAGAGGGGGGCCGGGAACAGAAAAACCTCCAAATCATCACTGATCTCCATTTACAAACGCTTTGGTTTTGTCAGATTAGCAGAGGCATACACATTTATACCGTGGGACTATCCATTAATCATATTAAAATCACAATTTCAATTCCTTCCTCTATGCAATCTCATTCATAAATGAATCTGCTACCCTTGCATTAGTAGGGAGATCCATTTCCTCCAAGCAAGCATATCGATCTTTGGTCTGAAGTAGTCTGGTTACCAGGTATACATATGAACTACCTCATGCTTGAACATGGTGTTCATTATGAACAGTCCATGAGTGGTGCAGAATTCTAATAACACACATGAATACCAAGGCTGAGAGTCTACAGTCATACTATTGACTCTCTGAGGTTGTATCTAGGCACAGCTGAGCTTTGAGCTAAATGCTAACAAGCTGATGTTTTGCAGGTAAAACGTTGTTACAGTTCAGCCTGAGAAGAACATGAGTGGTCATACCAAATTTCATTGAAATCGATCCAATTGCTGCTGAGGCATCTAACTCGAAGTTGCAAATGTGAACATCGTGGTGGTGCTAGAATAAAATACTGAAGGAAAAACTGGGAACCATAAATGTATGTGCCAGATTTTGTGCTGATCCACCCAGGAGATGAGAGATATTGATGAGATATTTCATATGATAGGTGAAAATTCTGACCTGCTATTGGTGCAAGATGAAAAGTCGCATAATCACCAAAGTCAGAGGGATTCATCCTCAGCGGAAAATGAACATCTGTACAAAAATTCCCTGGCAATCAGTCTCATAGCTGTTGAGATATTTCAGTCTAACGTGGTGGACCGACTGACCAAACTGACTGGCTGTTCGACCGTCGTACCCACATTGCCAGCCCGAGAGCCATGTCGCCAGCTTGACTGAAAATAAATAGCATTCTAGCTCAGATCAGAACATTCCCTCCAATCATCGGCCTCCAGGTTTTTCCATCATTACCCCTGTAAGTATTGAAATCCCTCAGTCGAACTATGAAGTCCCCAGGCAACGCTGTCTCCAGGAGGATACTCAGACAACCCAGACTCTCCAATATGGCTCTGGTTGGCCAATAGGCACAGACACACACAGTCTGACTCTTCCTTTCCACAACTCGGTCGCACAGAGGTAGGTAACCCTATTGTTCTCCTGGACCTCTTGGTTCACAACTCTGTCTAATAGCTATGGCTCCTTTCCCACTAGAAAGGTGAAATTTCACATCCCACGAGCCTGTTTTCCCAACAGTCAATGCACCCAGCACACAACCTTGTCAGCAGCGGGCACACTATGCAGCAACCCCAAGTTCTTTTCAAAGTGGGAATGACCTGGCCCCGTGGGATACAGGCTCAGCTACCGGCTGCTCACTTGCAAACTGCTGCAAACTGCCCTGTGAAGCCAGGCTCGAGGAGAGGATATTCCTTTGAGGCCATCACTGATATGTTAGAAAACTAAATTATATACCGATGTCAAAGTGAGTGTTCAGCAGGGAGATGTTTATCAGCTTTCAAAGTGAAAATATGAAATGTTTTAAATCAGTCTGTGCCACAACCTGGGCCTGAAACACAGAAAAATTTGCATACCTCCTAAGTTAAGAAATTTGCTATTTAGACATTCATTTCTGTTCAGTCCATGAACACAGATATTCTCACTGTACAGGAAATGATGAATCAAAACGGTGCCAGGAGCCTGGGCTAACAAATAGTGGACAACACTTCTGCAAAACGTATTCCCAATCATCTCTGTCTGTATGAGAGACTATGAGTAGAAACTTACTGTAGGTCAGAGGAGTGGGTTGTTTACTGAAATCCAGTCACAGGCTTTCTTGGCAATTAAACCTTTGAGCAGTAACCTACTGCTGCTACATTTGCTGCCAAAGTGCTTTAACAGGAATTGCATAGTCCTGCTTAGCCAGGGAATTCACACTTTGTTTTTGCTGAAGCAGCACAAAGGAGAGGTCTGGCCGACCCTATTTTTCAGCTGGGATAGACTGAGGGTTATTTGATTATTAAGCAACCAATCGCATTTGTCGCACACAGCACTGTGGATATGACTGTGTGTAGTTCACAACAGTGCTGGTGTGTGTGTATGTGTGTGTGTGTGCGCACCTACCTGACCAGTGTCCAGTGGTGGCCCCAGAGCGGTCAGTGCAGGTGTTACTGACGGGCAGGAAGACAGTCTCCCAGCCGCCGGGGGCGTAGCGCCAGTTGTGGGACTCCAGGATGAGCGTGCGCTGGGTGCCATAAGCGATCATGAAGCAGTATACGACATGGTGGAGCTGGCAGCCATAACCACAGCCCTTATTGATGTTACACACCAGCTTTCTCGCCTTACTGCAGTCTGGGGGGTTCTAAGAGGAGGAGAGGAAAGAATGTTTCAACATTTTTTATTGCTTGACCTTCGTCTTGTACCTCTCAAAGCCCTGCTCTCTGACTTGTAATAACACATGGCTGATATTGTTTTCTTTGTTCCCTTTGCCTGTCTGTCTCATACTCCACTCCACTCTAATTTTATGTTACCTGCTCAATCTTGTTCTCCATTTCTCTCTTTACCAGCCAGTTTCTTTTTACTTCTACAAATTCTTCTTTTACCATCTTTTAAAAGGATAAAACTGGTGACATTCTATATATATATATATATATATATATAAATGTAGCATTGTCTGTGTACTAGTCAAAACCCGATATAGCTCTATTTCACCATTATTGTGCAGACACTATAAAAACACATGAATGAGCCACTGCGTGACATGTTTCTTCAATACAATGAACATGGGCACTGTAGTTCGTTTTGAGTCCAACCCTCATACACCAGCATGGTGCTGCAGTCTCCTACAAATACACCATTTCTCCAGTCTGAGTATCATTTGATAAAAATTAGGAAATTACTGCGCTTTTTTTTGAATAAACTAAATATGTGACCAGCTTTTAAAGATTGAAGTCTTTAGTAGAAAGCAGCGGTCTTAGTTGTTTTCCTGGGATTTGTTGACAACAATATTGCCAGCCTTATCTTTTAATACCTCCTCGCTAAATAATATATAATATATATATATATATATATATATATATATATTTTTTTTTTTTTGCTCTTGCATTCTCTCATTCCTTCACTTTTCACTGCCCCTTTTTTGCCTTCCTGCCCATGCACTCATTTGCATTAACCCCCCCCCCCCAAACTCTCATTCCTCATCTCACAAATTAACTTCAATATCATACAATTTCTGAGGGGATGAATACCAAATGAGAGACGCTGGGGGAAGAAACAAGGATTTCTCTTTTTTTGTGTCAAAAAAAACAAAAAAACAAAAAAACAAAAAATAGTGGAAACCAGCAGAGTGACACATGCTGTTTTGTCGATGAGTCGCCAGGCGGGTTGTGATTCGCTCGGCAGCCAGTCTGAGCGACTCTGCAACGCTCGTGCCAACCAGCTTCCTAAACAGCAATTACCGGCTGATGGGAGTGTTTTCCTCATTAGGCTGCTGCAGCTGTGGATGGTTCACAGTAATCAGGACGCCCGGCACCCACTGGTGAACGCTGCCTATCGCAAACTAGCAGGAGAGGAAGAGGAAGAGAGGGATGAGGAGGAAAGGAGAGGGAAGCAAAGAGGGAAAGAGATGAGAGGATTAAAAAAAAAAAAAAAAACAGAGGAGAGGAAATGAAAAAGAGAACAGGAGATTATGAAGAGAGAGGCAAAGAGAGGAAATGAGAGACAAAAAAGAAAGAGGAGAGGAGAGGAGAGGAGAGGAAGGGAAGGGAGGGGAGGGGAGGGGAGGCTCCTTTAGGTGCTGAAACTGATTACCACCTCGGCTGTTCAATAACATGAACAGAGTACAGCAGCCATCGAGCTGACAGAGGAAACCACACAGGTATTTCCTCTGAGTTACAGGCTGCCGGTTCACTACTGGCCCCACAGGTGGAAGCTAACTCACTGTACTAATAACCTACTGTGGCACTCCGACAAAGAGGACCCGTGTAGATCTTGTTTTCTTTCGACAGGGCTCGAGATCTGAGCCGCCTATGTCTCCATGAGACCGATGCGTGCCGTGAGCCTCGTGGCGCGGAGGCCACCATCGGATCCCCGGTTGATAATGATGAAGCTGGAATGGCTCCGAAGCGCTGAGAGACTCAGTTCAAGGATAATGATGGCAGACGCATGCACAAAGGCAGCCTCTGAGTACCGCTCTGTACTGTAGGTTAAGTGCCTGTTTAAATTGTGTGCTTTTTTTGAGTGTGAAACACAGAGGCAGTTGCAGAGTGATGTGATTCAGCTCTGAGAGACCACAGTGATATTGTTTATGTAGGGAATATGGCTGAGAACAACTGGATATGAAAAATAGCATGTCGAGCTCAGGTAATTATCCGCTGTGTTGCCCGCATTCAAAAATGCAGAGGAAGATGAAAGGAAGCTGTGCACTCCTGATGATGTTTAAAGTGCGGCTACATTTTGTACAGGTAAACGTCTGTTCTGCCACTCTCTGTTGCAGATTTACAGCATATCATTAAGCTCATTTAAGTTTTTATTTTATTGTTTTATTTCCCTCATGTACAAGAGGAAACAACAGCTATAATGCACACGCTGTGACACATTTCAGACTTAAACAATCAACAGTGTGCCATTGAGAGGAACTGTGGAGTTAACCTGAGCACTAACATCCACAATGACTGAACTGTCAAAGAGAAAAAGTCAAATATCATCATCAGGAATTTCAAGGAAGAAGAGTTTTTTTTCTTCTTCTTCATCATTTCATCACAATCCTTTTTTCTTTTTTTTTCTTATCATATCAAGCCCCATTTCTTTGTATCTACCAGCTGCTGGCAATTTATTTTTCTCAGCAGCAGCCATTTAATCTTTTGCATTCTGTCTCTATGTACAGTAGGTTTCATCTTCCTCTCCTGCCACAGGATTCAAATTGTGTACCAACACTCAAGGGAGTCGCAGAAAAAGGATGCACGGATGCACTAGATGAGATGTGGAAGCTTCTCACTCCACATGTTTCTTGCTGTGCTGTGAACAGATACACCAGTTGCTCTCCTCCTGCTGCATTTTCCACAGACCATCAGCTAAATATGTGTTTGCTGCTCCAAGAAGTCGATACACGCGTCAATTTCAACTGTAGGACTGTGGGACCTGTATTATAAATAAAAATCGCCATAACCATCAGTAACAGCAGGTGTTTCCAAATCTACCAAGACTGAAGTATCAAAGCGCCGACATAGCCCCTTTTGAAGCACAAACAGTTGCCTATTTACATATCAAGCACAAATGGAGCAGCGTTAGTATTAATCTGGAGTTATATTCCTGGCAACTCGATGACTCTTAGTCCAATAATCACACTCTGCTTTGTTGTGCTCTCCGCCAGCTTCTGAAGGAAATATCAGGCTGTTCAGCAGCTAAATGATCGAGCAGCTAGTTGCTAACTGTGTCTGTCTGCCGTTTGGCACCTTGCAGGTAGTGTTTTTTTTTCTTCTTTTTTCTCTCTCATTGAAAACAGATGTCTGCTATGGCCAAAAACGATACTGAAGAGAGTGTGATGAGAGTGAACCTGAACAATAAAGTAGCAGGTGGGAAATCAAAACAATGAGCTGAAAGACACAATAACAGATTGGAAGAGCCGAAACAGAGTTGGTGATAATTCTCTAAAAAAAAAAAAAATAAAAAAATAACCAAGATGACAATCTTGGTTATTACCAATGAATCCCACTATATAAAGGCTCATAGTGCAAAAATAGATGAAAAGCATGTCCAACAGAAATCCATCTGAAGAAGCCAGCCATGCTCACTCAATGTTGTGAGTGGACAGATGGAGCAGACGCAGAGATGGAGTTAGTTAAACCAGGAATGAAGGGAGAAGCTGGTACGGATGGCAGAGCCAGCAGGACAGGAGGGAGGAGTCTGTGTGTGTGTGTGTGTGTGTGTATGTATACATACAGTCTTGTGAGTGACTGTGTGTGAGTGAGATAGTGAGACACACAGGGCATTTCTTTGTGTACAAGCATGTGCATCAATCTTGTAGCTGAGTGTGTGTGTGCGTGTGTGTGTATGTGTGCGCCAACTGCCTGCGTAGGTGCGGGTGAATCCATCTGTGCACAACTCTCTCTCTCTTTCTCTCTGTGTATGTGTGTGCGTGTGTGTGTGCATGTGTGTGTGTGTGATGAATTAGTGATGGCAGCTGGTGGAGCGGTGTGATCCCTCAGCGGTGGTGACAGCAGCTGTTAGCGGTGCTGTCTCCGCCCAGCCAGACTGACTGGGTCCTCTTCATCAAACACACCGGCTCATTAATGCTGCAGGGCCCGGTGCTGCGCCGCACCGCACCGCCCCACCCGAGAGCCCCGCAGCACCAGAGCTGGGGAGGTGTGTGTGTGTGTGTGTGGGTGGGGGGGTGCTTGGGGGGGGTGAGTGGATGCGTCCTGGGTCTCAGGTTGTGTGTGTTTGTGGAGCTGTGAGCATATGTGCATCTATCTAAGCCTGAGTAAGTATGTGTGTGTGTGTGTGTGTGTGTGCGTGTGTTTGTGTCTTACTTTGTACTGCGTAGATGTTCCTGCATTTCTGCATATGCGTGTCTGTCGATCTGTCATTTCGCAAGTCTGCATTTGTGTCTCTGTGTTTTGGCGTGTGTGTGTGTGTGTGTGTGTGTGTGTGTGTCACTAAACCGCTGACAAGCAACAAGAATCCTGCTTGTCAGACACGACTGCTGAAACAGTCTGCTATCACACCTCTCACCTGCTCCACGAGGAAACTGATGCGGACAGTTATGGATGGTGCAAATGAGACTTGCAAGTGCGAAACATGTCCTTAAAAAACGCACATGGGTGATTGTATGTGTGAGGGAAACATTCATATGAACGCTCACAATGCACGTGTGGGTATGTATATGACTCTGTATGTGTGTGTTTGTGTGTGTGTGAGCGAGAGAGAATACCACGCCAGTTGGCTAAGCAGCAGGTGTTTCTGTAGTTACCTGTAGGTAGGTGATTCTGTTCTGGACCAGATCTGACAGGTCTTTAGCCTCCTTCATTCTCCACTCGCCCACTCCGTCCGCCTGGCTGAGGTAGTACAAGTCTGTCATGATGGACCTGCAGACACATGCACACATTTCAAACCTTTAATTATTTATGCACACATATGTTCACGTTCAAATATCCAGCTAAATACATACACAGATTGATGCACTGTTGATCATGTGTGTCTTTGTCATGTTTGTGCAAAAAAACAAAACAAAAACAAACAGCATCCTCCAGATGTGGCCATTAATAACTGCCGACAACGAACAGGGGCTCGCCAGTACTTTTTCTTCAGCATCAGTGCGAAGTGAAAACCGTTGCCCCCGACTGCCAATTATAAACACAAGGTTCATATTCAAACAGCTGTAAGGTAATGTGTGTACATTCTCAAGAATGATGAATAACCTTGCCTTGTAAAGTAAAGCACTTAGTTCCCATAGCAGCCATTCAGACGGATGCAAATTAATGATCACCATGCAAATAAAAGGGCAGCTTGGTGGGAAACCAAGGACAGAGAGACTGCTAAACCAGTGCTTGTATTTACTGCACTGACCCTGGCAGTTACAATCTGTGTGTGTGTGTGTGTGTGTGTGTGTGTGTGTGTGTGTGTGTGTGTGTGTGTGTGTGCGTGTAGGTGCTAGATCAGGACGAAAACACACAAAACTATTCACAGGTTTTCAGCCAGACGTACTGTTTATACACACTCAGAAACATACACAGACACATTCCAAATCCTGTGTTTGGATTAAATAAGGTCAATTAAAATTCATAGTGAAGAAGACAAAAATGTTTCCTTGAACATAAATATTTATACTGTGAGATGACAGAAATCTGTCAACCGCCTGAGATGTTTTCAAGCTGTTTATGTAGGTCTCCATAGATACACTTGGGTCCTGACAACTGAAACTCAAACCAACTCAAGTAGGATCGGGTCAAAATGATATGTATTGCCGTCGGTCTCAGGTCCTTGTATATGGAAAAAAACACATGCTTGGTGGTCCATCAAGATGCTACAGGTCTCTTATTTTGAAATTTAATTTATTTGATTTTGGGTTCAGGTAGGTTTTCCAGGGGTCCTTTTCAGATGGGCTTCAAAATCCCATGAAGACCTTTAATCTGTGGTTGCACCAGAACATCCAGACCATATCACTCAACAATACTGAGTTTACAGGATTTTTGCATGAATGTGATAAAATACCTTGATTTTTTCAGTTATTTAACGGACCTCCCCACCTGGGCAGTGGCTCTACAAACGGTTTCTACTGTGACAGAAGATTTTTTTTATCAACATGGTCCACCCCTACTTGAATATGCAGACGAGTTATGTTGACATGATCTTGACTAAGTGATCTTGCATATTTTATACATCTCGCATTACGGATCTGCAGCTCTTGCCTGTGACCCTATTTCTGTCCAGACAGGAAGCCTCATCTTCAAATCAGGGCAGACATGCAGACACAGAATGAATGAACTTCAGCCTCTGTGACCTGCGCAGAAATGTTCGTCCACAAAAGTTCATTGTTACGCTGCAGTAAACCTATGAACTGTGATCTGTGTTTCTCCGGCAGGTAGACTGTGAAGCCAACTCCCAAGCCTACAAAAACCTTTGACAAGCAGCATATGCTAACAGTATGCTGCGTGTTAAACATTACCGAGGCTCAACATGCTTGCAGGATATTTATAGAAAAAGTGTCGTTTCTGTCACGCCCACTGATGATGACAACGTCTTTCTGGTTGTTTATCCTTTATTTTGGATTAAGTCTGCCATCTGCAAGCCTCTGACAGCGAATGTTTGTACGTGTCACACACTGCCAAATTTTGTGACCATCCACTTACAAACATGCCCAAGAGCTCTGATATATGCAGTGAAGGGCAGATGCAAACGCATCACACACTCACATACACACACACACACTTATGCAAGCTTAATTTATTACTCACTTCTTTGACCCAAATCAGTCACATCCTGTGTGACTTAGAGTTCTTTTGCATATATTCAGTAGTGCATGCAAAGATACACACACGCACACGCATACACATACACACACACGCACGCACAAAGCAGACAAATGTACTACATCCCATTTCAACAGTGCTGCACGGTGAATAGTGCCTTTCTCTACAACTAAGACAGTATCATTACTCATTGACCCATTTTGAAGCTGGAACCACAGTGTGTGATGGATGTCAAACTCTCCTCCAGCAGCGCACAGGGGAGTCATCACCGACCCTCTGTGGGAAGGAAAAGCAAACCTGGCTGGCCGCAACACTTAACAAGAAGGAATCAACAGACAAGCGCCGAGGGATTTGGCAGCGCGACAGGGGAACACCACACGTCTGTGACGTCCTGCATATGTGTCAGGGGGTGTGCTCTTGTGTGTGTGTGTGTGTGTGTGTGTGTGTATTTATATAAAATATGTGTGGTCCTGTGGGCTTCCCCAGTGCTTCTCATTGTCTCATGCTGCAGACGTTGAGGCTGCAGCCGCTGGTCTTGGCAGCAGTGCACGAGAGAGTTTCAGGTTTACATTACAGCATGAATATCAACCGGCCAGGAAAGACAGGAGATGAGCAAAAAGAGAGGAAAGACAAGTCATTATTTTACTGGCTTACAGCCCTGTAGTGTACTGTTCTATGACATAACATGGGACATTTGGTAAGCACTGTTTACTCAGTTTGCCTTGCACTACTTATGACACAACAGCACCATATTTACTACCCTACACATTCTGTTTTATGATCGTGTTGAGTTGTACTTTGACAGTAATTAATTTTCAGTACGGTTCCTGTTTTTTTCCCTCTCTAGTTTAGTGTATTTATTCTAGTTTCAGTTGTAGGTTTTTAGTTTGCAGCAGTGCATATGTTTGCAGCGTGTACTGTGCACTACACCTTATAATTACCTCAATATTGCAAACAATAGTCACCATGTCTTGATCTTGTTTTTTAAGCAGATCAGATCAAGCGGATTATTAGTAGTTGTAGTTGACAAAACAACCTGGCTTCTTTTTTTTTTGCCCGGTTGTCATGGATATGTACATGTTCATAGCTTCAAATTTTTCTTAGCACTTAAAGTACCTTTTAATCTTGAAACAACTCAGTTTCAGTGTTTCACTGAGTCTTGGCATGAAGACACATTGGGCTCTATTTTAACGATCCAAAGCGCATGGTTTGAAGCGTGTGGTGCCAGTACGTTTAGGGTGTGTCCATGTGACTTGTGATATTTTAACGATGGAAAAAACGGTCTCTGCGTCAGGCGCATGACTCAAAAAGGTTGTACTTAATCTGTTAATTATTCTTGGGAGTGTTTCGGGCATAACATCTAATTAACCAATCTAAGTGTCATCGTCTCCCATTCCTTTTAAAAGCCAGGTGCTCGTGCACCTTGACGTATTGCTATTATAAAGGCGCAGCTGCTCGCAGCTCTACAGTGACGGAAAAGCACAAATCACAACGTTAGAAATGTTTTGTTATATGATGAAAAGTGTAAACAAATCTTATGAACCTGTGGTGGACAAATTCAGGTGATGAATGAGAAACAGTGTGGCGGATTTACCAAGTAGTAAGAAAAGAAGATTTTCTGCAGAGCCTTGTGCAAGAGACAAGGCTACATGACATTATACAACACACAACATGTCACAAAGAAGCTCCGACCTTCTGACCTTGTTTTTCCGTTCAGCGCCCATGTTTTTTAAATAGCAAATGCACTTGCGCCTATCTGTGTGTACCATGGGCGTGCTGGTCTTTAAATGAGGTGTGGTCAGGTGCATTGTTGGCACATTGCCATCATGAGACAGTGGACAAAGCAGGGTGTACTTAAAGTTTTTTACTTCAGTGTATGTTACTGATACACTGGTGCCAGTGTTGTGATACATAGTTGTGTAGGTGCAGACATGTTAATTTCCTGTTGGACACACTGGAACTTTGTTTTCTGGCATATCTCTATGAACTTTCACACTGTTCCATTCCCCTGTCCATAAAACTTTCTGAAACTGAAAGCTCTTCATAATGCATTTTTTTTTTTTTAATGTGCTACATTTTTATTTTACATGGGCAATTTTGGAGACAAGGAACTTACTTTCCTCTTGAGCAGAATTTTAATGAAGGAGCAGTGCATTTTTTGGAGTCAAACATTTTATTGCTCTTTCCACCTCTGCCCCTATCTGTGCTGGCTCTCCCAGCCTTCGCCTGCAGCACATACAAAGAAATCTGAGGGGCTCAGGATGAAAGCGAATACATGTAGAAGTGTGAGACTGTGTGTGTGTGTGTGTGTGTGTGTGTACACATGCATGTCTGTGTGCACAGGGTGAGGAATCAGTCTTTGGAAAGCTGCTTAGGCAACGACTAAGACAATGGGCCATGTAAGCCACTCCACCAGGATTACAAAGAACCACTTGGCTAAGTGACAACAGGACTTTCTTCACTCAGCCGTGTGGAAGCCTGGCACCATCCAGATGACACAGAGGGTGTGTCTATGACCTGTGCCCTTTGCTTCTCAGCAAACACTGCAAGTGTTGCTTTTAAGTCCTCGTCCTAGAAAATGTTAGATTTTCAACGTTTGACATCAGCTGTGGGCAGTGCCAGGAAACAGAAGCCTCTGACTCTTGAATCAACACTGAATGCATTACCAAGGAAGTACTAACAAAGATCCAATACACTGATATTTGTATTACAAGGATCCTGAGCTAATTCTTACACAGAAAGACCAACAATATCCATCTACAGCTGCAACTAATGATTATGTTCAATATCAATTTAGCTGATGATTGTTTTTGCTACTTTGGCTCCAAAAGTTTACTTGAACGATTCATCAACATTTTCCATATCTGATGTATTTTATTTTAATTATTTTAAGTTCTGAGGGTCAATCATATAATCATTTCAACTCTATATTTATCCATTTTCCACACTGCTTATTCTGTTCAGCTTCACGGGAGCCTGGAATCTATCGCAGCATGCACTGGACACGAGGGAGGGCACAACCAGAGACAGTTCAGAGAGGAGACGGCAAAGATCCCCGATACAGAAGGTACCGCATTACAGGCAGCACCAATGGTATGAAATGGGACACAGTTCCGGTCTCCTAAGGTGGCGTTTTCTGTCAACGCCTCCCACACAAGCCAAGGCAACTGGTATGAAATGTGACAGTCGCTAATATTAAAATCTATCCCTATCTAGACTTCCCCCTCTGCATCCTTTAGGAAAGAAAAGACAGATATGTTTTTCTTGTTATTACAGCCTGTTGCTGCACAAAGCTTGGGCATTTTTAACACTCACTGATGGATTACTTGTCCCTGCCAAAATAATAAAACAATAGATAGTACAACACTGATACAATACACATTTGCGCCTTTTTTGCCGCAGTTTTTATCTATTAACAGCATCTAATCAACCCAGTACAAAGTCATATCACTTTAAAAGGCTAATACTATCTGTTTTCTCTTTCAAAATACTTAAATAATGACGACATATAACGATAGCAATTGTTAAGCAATGACACAAGTTTTATTTAAGTTTAATCCATGGATTCACATATAAGTAAGTCAATCAAAATATCAATCAATCAATCAAAATAACTGGTTCACCCGAACGTCTGGTTATCGGTTGGCAAACGATGCCGGCAGCTGCCAGATCTCGAGAGAGTATGGCACTGAGACAGAGGCAGGTCTCGAATAAAGTTAATTTTCTCCTGATCTGTTGATCTGAAAAATGTCATTTTGATGTCAGAATGTTCCGAAAACATGTGGCTTGTGAAAAATGGGTCCAATAGTTATTGCGGTATGGAGTGAGCGAAAAAATCTGTCATAATCTGTGATCTCGTTCATTTCTCCCATTGGAATCAATAGACTCAGACCTGCTTCTGTTCTCCTGAAAGGGCGGGGAGGTGGAGAAACCCACGTATCACAGATACAGGAAATAATCGGAAAATGAACCGACTCGTTTCTCTACTGTTTCTGGAGACAGTGCTCTTAAGAATCATTCCCTGTATCTGTGTCACATGGGTTTCGCCACTGCCCCGCCCCTTCTGGAGACCGGCGGCAGGACGTGAGACTATTCACTCCAGTGGGAGAAGTGAACGTGAGCACAGATTATGATCGATTCTTTCGCCCCCCCACAGACACCGAAGTAAATACTGGACCCATTTTCCACAAGCTTCGTTTCTTTTGAACATTCTGACACCAACATGGCGTTTTTCAGACAGACAAATCAGGAGAAAATTAACTCCGCTCGAGACCTGCCTGTGTCTCAGCAACACAACATATATCTGGTCTGGTTTCACTGCTGCAGTGCTGCCGACGTTTCCAACTTCCAATTTTAAAAGGATTTATAAATGAAAACTATAAATCTTAAGTTAAAACTGAATTAAACAATCGCTTAACAATACAGTAACAGCATACTAATTATTATTCAATTGTTTTTTTAAAGGGAAAAATAGAATATTATTAGACTGATATGATCTACTGAGTTAATCAAATAAAAACGAGCAGCAAAGTAAGGTGCAAATTTGTACTGCATCTAGTGTTGTACTGTTTTATATCGTATTATTTTCACATGAATGATCAATAGTCCATCTATTAACAGTAAAAATGCTTTAAAAAAGCTTTATGCAGCAAAAAGCTGTAGCAACCGGAACAACATGTCTGTCTTTTCTATTCCAAATGATGCAGAGGGGTAAGTAATAAAAGACCTTTTACTGTCATGACCACGCCCACTCAGGAGACAGGAAGTTAATACCATTTCATACAGTTGGTGCAGCTCGTAATGGGTCATCTTTGTAACAGTGTATCTTTGGTACATCAAACAACAACAGGTCTGTCACGCAGATGTATTTGTTGTTCCAGTTCCAGTTTCACTTTACAACCATTCAACCAGAAGGAGGTAGAGGTGTTACAAACAAAAAGCTAATATACTGTATGTGCCTGGTATACCACCGGACTGATCAGTTAGCTTAGCTTAGCATAAAGACTGGAAACATCTGTTTGAAAACATGGGGTTATGTGCTGGACTGTGCAACCCGGTGCTTTAACGTTCGGTTTAACAGTACAGTGTATCGAATTATACAGTAACGTGTTAATTAGTTACTGTATATCTTGTTTGTTTTGTTCAAACGACTGTCACACTAATGTCGAACTATTCCTTTAAGGAGTGAGCGCTGGGATATATCATTTTGGTAATGTTAAATATTGTCAGACAGACACACTCATACTAACTTTCACACCTCGGGGATATTCAGACTGTGGACTGTGGGCGGAAACCTTCAGACAACAAGCAGGCGCCACAGGGAAAGGCTCCACCAGTCTGCTTTACCTTCCTGCTGCGAGATGACACTGGTTTCCCACAAACACTTGTGGAACATTTTGACATTTCTGCTTTTGAACTTTTTTCTCATGTTTTCAAGTAAACATCGGCCCACCTCTCCTGGTGTCCCAGGTCCTGCAGGAGTGTGTCGGCGTACTTCTGCCTCTCGCTGGGCTCGACGTTGGCCAATTTCTTCACCTCGCTGCGAACAAAGTACCAGAACTCCTTAACACCGTTCTCCACCCTTCTCCGCAGCTCCTCCTGAGTGGGACCGGGGCCTGCAAGCGGAGGGAGGGGGGGGTAAGAGATAACAGCTCACAACAAAATGTCACAAAGATACACGGCTTGTGTAACATTTGACGCACAGGTAAGATCAAAAACAATGAACCGGGTAGGAAGGGACACTAGAGGATTAGATGATGCAAGACTAAATAGGCTATAATGGCACAAAGCAAGGTTTCGGCGTAACCATGAAAATGTTCCTTTCCATACTTTGTCCCTCGGTGTTGCTTTGACCTCATTAAGGAGCACTTGATCACAGTTTTTTGTGTCTCATGGCTCTCTCATGTGTTCTCTCACACAGTCCTAACAACAGGAAGGAACTCTACACCCAACCTGAGCCAAACAATGTGGAGTAACCCACATGGATAGCACAGCTGCCTGCTCTGGTTTCGGTGGAGAGCAACAACAACAAAAAAAAAAAAAAAATTGAGGGAAGGACAGCCTCAAGCAGGAGGAGAAGAAGGTGGTGGTAAAGAGGGAAAATTGCTTTTTTTTTTTTTTTTTTCACTTTCCTATCTTGCACTCTCTCTTCTTCCCTCACTCCCTCCCTTGGTGGAAAAAAAAAAAAAAGCTGGAGGGTATTTTTAGCTTTTTCTTCCCCTGCGGCAAGATGGAAAGGCTGACCCTGTGCTGCCCTCCACGCTCACATGTCCTTCTTTATTTTCTCTCTGTCTGTCTCTTTTCTCTCTCCTCTCTCTCTCTCTCTCTCTCCCTTTCTGCCATTGGGGCATTCACTCTGCTTCCACTTCATTCACACATTTCCCCACTCGCCCAACAGCTTTCCTGCCCCTCTGACCACTGCTTATAGTGGCAAAAGCACACATAACCCTGCCCATCCCACGGTACGCCTCTGTCATCATCGTTGCTGAGCTGCAGCAGGTTTAACACTGGACTAGACTTGAGATTCCCGCTGCAGGCGAAAGCTCACAAGAGAGCTGCTGACTGGTTTCATCCCAAATATAGTCAACCCCCAGCACCTTCAAAATCAATCCTTTCATATGTCCAAGCTCGGTGCCAAATCCTTCCCCACAACTTTTTTTCTTTTTCAGGCATCTCTGCCCTGCTTACCATCTCCGGTGAGCTTCTGGAAGCTGTGGATCTTCTGTTTGGCTCTGGTTAGCTGGTCCTCCAGGGAGCGCAGTCTCCCTGCGGCCAGGGACCCGGCTTCTGCCTGACCCTCTGGTATCCTTTGGGAGAGAGAGACACAAGGAGGGGGTTGTGATGGGTGAGCACGGGAGCGTGTCTACATTGATAGAAGCAAGAGAGCGCAAACATATTCTTCTCTGCAGAAATATTCTGCTGAAATTGTTAAACTGGGTCCCAGTAAACAAAAAAAAAAAAAAATCAATGTGATAAACTTGTACTCAGCGCAGTGCTGCAAGAAATAATTATTTTCATTATCGACAAAGCTTTTGATGTTTTAATTACTCAATTAAGTAAAAACAATGATGACAAATCATGCCCATCATAACTTTCTAAAACCCAAGTTGACATCTTCAACTTGCTCATTTTGCCTGAATAACAAAATCCCATAAACATGAAATTTTCAATGACAGAACAGAGTAAATCCTAACATGTGACCAGCTGTTTGCCAGTCTGACATGCTAAACTGCTTGAAGCAAACAAACTATCATCAAAATTGCTGTAACTAACTGGATCCCTTGTAAACAAAACTGTTATTAGCTTTATTCAGTTTGCTGTAGCAAAGCTATGGATGAACTAGCTTGAGACAGACACCATTCAAAACTGACCGTATTGTATAGACTTCAATATCAACCTTTCCAACCACTGATTGGATACACACCACTTGCTTGGCTGGATTTAGTCTTTGCTTGTGATTTGAAATCTGGTAAAAAACAAACAAACAAACAAAAAAAAAAAACACATGGTGGCTGTTACTGTGCAAATATTGTGAAATTCCTCTTCAACTGAAATCAGTCCCTGTACAAATCTTTGGAGAAATACTGCAGGCCACACATTTGTAGTTGAGTTTTGCTTCATTTTACATCGGCATCACCTTGTTGTAATAGTTGTTGACAAGGTGCAGGAGTGTTGAGAAGAAGTGTTCAGCATCTGAACATTCACTGACGAGTCCGGTATGTATCTTGACTCGGGTGACGAGGTTCTCATTTGGACGTTCCTAGACTTAAAAGGCTGGCATCTTTTCCTGCTCACCACTGAAAATTCTATTTCATTTGCTGAGACACCACAGTGCAGCCTCCCGGAGCCCTGTCCTGGTTTATTTATTTTGAGCTCCAGATCAAAATACTGCATCATTTTCCATGTCTCTTAAGTCTAGCCTATCTACTTCTGTGGCCATACACCCGAGCTCTTTACAACATCCACTGAACCGTCTCTGTGCTGAATGTCACTGAGATGCCATTATTTTGGTGACTTTGACTGAAAAATAAAATGTACCAAAGTAGAAATATAAAAAAAACACACACACAGACACACACACACAGACACACACACACACACACACACACACACACACACACACACACAACTACATAAAAACAATCCAAGTGCAGCAAATAGATTAAATATAATTTGTTGCTGTACTTCCACAATTTATCAGTAGCTACGCTGGAAATCCCCTCTTGATTATTGCACAGAATGTACGCTGCATTAGCGGTGCAGTAGCCATGGTGACCTCTTCTTCTTCTGTCTTAGACATTGTAAAGAGGAGCTGACAAGACAAAACATATAGATCACAGACAACTGATGCGCTCCTCGTCACTGAGCTGCACAACAAGTCGTCTTCAGGGTTTCTGCAGCTTTTTTTTGATGAAATGTGAACATGCATGACAGATATGAGCATTGTACTCACTTGGCTTTGTAAATTTACAGCCCAAAAGCTTAATTGTGCATTATAGCTGAAACGATGTTCCTGCAGCTTTTCAGTCCATTTAATCTAGCAACATAAGCTAATCTGTTAAAATTGAATGTTTTCTTTTTTAGTCAATTATAGTTGAAAGATATAAATAAGCATTTCCCCACCGCTGTGTCAAACTATGAACTATGAATAACCACTGCATGCATGTAATGAAGACACAAATGAGCAATCTGACATGACCGGAACACAGAGTTCGAATCAGCCAAGGAGAAAAAAGCACTGCCACTGACATTAAACCGTATCAGTTCCTCTACATAAAACTATTAAAAATGGAATATGTTTGAATGCACAGGGGCATTGGTGGAGTGCTGCAAAGGCCATGTTAATGAGTCATCAAGGCATGCAAACTCAATTTGCTCCCTGAGTGAGGAACATCAGTCGCTGGCAGGCATAAAGATGAGACTTTTAAAGTTGCAACAGCCCTTCTTGCTGCACAGCTCCCCCTTCACTGTTCAAGCCCCGGCCCCTGAGAAGCTCTGGCCTCTCACTTCACTGAGCACTAACTGAGCATTGTGCTTCAAAGCCATGGAAATAAACTGAGGAAGAAAAGGGAGGATATTTTAACTCCTCCATTATGTAACCGTGTGATGGACAAGGATAAACCTTTCTGTATGGATATTTATATGTATGTCTTAAATTCACGCTTTTCTTTTTCTTTTCTTTTTTTTTCCTTTGTGAAACCCGTGGTGTTCCCATTTCAGCTGTCTGACACAGATCTTTTGAAATAAGACCCAGGTGCATTTCCTTTCCTAGTATCAACTCTACTTTCTATTCTCACAGCCAAGTCTGTTCAAACAATATTCAACAAGATCTCCCAAAAGCCACACCCTAACCTGCTTGTTATACCATTGTACAGGAAGTAGGACTAATTCCTCAGTGACATCATTTCCCAGGGGTTTTAAGTGCTGCTAAAACTGTATTATAAAGCAACATGATATCTCCTTGAACAAGGAAGAAGAAATAGGCCAGTGCTGCACAGGCTAATGAGAAGAGACGTGGTACAGAGGTTAGCTAACATGTTCCAAAGAGACATAAACTGCTGAGACACAGTGCTGGTGCAGGAAAAACACAAGCATCCCCAACCAAGATATGCAGATATAAAATATATCCAAACACTCAGCGGTATCAAAACCCACAGACACACACACACACACAGGAAGGAGGAAAACACCATACACAAACACACAATTGATCCCTGACGGTATCTCTAGAGGACCTGAAGCGGAGACTAGACAAGGCAGCTGGATTCAACAGCGTCTTAATCAAACGATACAGGAGAGGTAACAGATGAGAAAAACTCTGACTCCGGGGGAGGCGGGGCGGGGCGGGAAGGTGAGGGAGAGATACTGCGGAGTGAAAGACAAGCTATGAAAGCAAGGGGTGATGAGCCCCACCGGCGCTAAGCACTGAGCCGGAAAGCAGGTGAGGTTCAGCATGCAACCCAGTTTCCTCTGAAATGCTGCCCCAGCTGTCGCTCCGCCGGCTCCCGCCCCTGCACCCGGTAACCATGGAGTTCACAGGGTGATCAGAGCCGGGCGGAGCAGATTGAACGGCGGGGGCCTAGGTGGCACTGCGACGCATACATATTTCCGTGGTAAGATTTAATATACTCTGGTTGACTTCAAAAGGAAAACCTGCACGGAGCTGGGAAACCATACATATGGATGCTGATGTAAAGTGTTCTGTTCTGGGAGGTGTAGATGAAAGGAGACTACATTAACGCAATTTGCCTTTATATTGAGACGGAACTTTGATTTACTGTTCCTATACGCTGCATGTGTATACACACGTGTGAGCGTTTGCACACTGTGATGCGTCTTGACTGGCATGCTCCAGCCTTTCCTGGGAACTCACCGCATGCTACACCAAACCACTTGACTCCAATAAGTCAAGCTAATAAACCACAGGAATGTGGCAGTGGGAAAAAGGCAAGTAAACAATATGAATGAGTGGAAAAGTCTGGTATGACCATGAAAACCTTTTACTACTGGTCCGAACTGGTTTGGAAGACCAGTGAGGAATCCTAAGTTTGTGGAAATAATAATAGGAACAATGAGATAGCTGCGTTTATTGTCTAAGTGTATCTGTTGTGTTCTCTCTGCATCATATCAAATCAATTCATCTTGTCGTCTCTATGTCTCCTTCCTTTTGCTGTGTCCATGTTACGTGTCCAACAGTGTAATTCCAAGTAAACCAATTGTGAACGGTGCATTCTTTGCTTCGCATGCTTCGACGCCTCAGTGCATCCAGAGCGAGCCAGCTCCGCTCTGAGCCCTACTTGACAGAGATGTCCTGACCACAGACAGCTCCCACAATGGGGCTAGTGTGCGTGTGGCAGTAGAACCTTCCCTCGCCAGGCCTGGGTGACGGCCAGGTCGATGGGAGCTCAGGTCTAGAAGCGGCGGCAGCATCTGTTTAGTGGGGGCCCGCACTGGGCTAAAACCATTACAGGATAAATGAGTCCTCTCACTGTTTTATCTTCCACGCGAGCGGACAGTGGCCTCGTTCCATCCAAACCACACGCCTGCGTTTACAGTCCTAATTTACATTTGTGTGCAGCTTGAAAGACAGGGACCCAAATGAGGTAGACATATGCAAAAAAGTAGCATGTGTAGACAAGATGATGCCAGCTACTGTAGCTGGAAGCAAACTATAAAACTATAAAAAGGAGAGTAAGTGAGGTCTAACAGTCAATGGACTGCACCATTAAAAGACTATTCCACTGAAGCATGGAAAAAGAATTTGTATCAATCTGCCCTCTTCTCTATCTGTCCTAGATCTGGGTCACATGATACGGATACGGTACATGCAAATAATTCTTCTCATCAGTGTTCACATGCAGGGCAGTTTCAGCTGGGTGGAATGAAACAGCAGCTCTGGGTCAGCTCAAACAGTGGTAAGCAGTTGACTGACTGAAGAACAGTGTGCTGCACGGCCTTTTACCACCTAGTTTTTGATGGTATTGTACAAGGTCAAACACTCTCATCATGATGGCGCTGAACCGGGCTGAAATAACATGTAAAACAGATTAGTGCGAGGACTGTGGAACCCGCGACTCTCCTCCTCCCCTCAGCCCTCATTTTCCATTTCCTCCTTTGCTGCTCTTTACTTAGTGCAGTCCTCATGCCATCCATCACGCTCCCCTCCTCTTCTCATCCTCTGAGCCCCCCCCCCACCCCAATCCCTCTGTTGGCATGGCTGGGGGGGTGGGGGGGTGGGCGTAGTGGAGATCGATCAGGTCCTCATCGCTCAGCCCAGCTGTCAGTCTCACCCCTCGCTCCCTCCGATGTCACACCATCAGGCTGGCGCGTGTCATTGTCTCCGCAGCAGTCGCGGCTTCGCGCCCGAGGTGACTGACAGCTGCAGAGAGGGCGGAGCCAGACAGACCGGGGCGAATCGACCTCGTGCTCACCTCTCATTAATGCTGCTGGGTGATTGGTAGGTTGGCACGCTGCCTGTCACTCAAAACGCTCCACGGATGGCGCGAATGACTGAGTCGCTGGAGTGAATCTGTAGGCCGGCCAGGTGATAACTAATTTGAGTCCAACTCATTGATTGATAGATGAATTCATTTCACATGACAATTCCAATCGACGAATTGTGGCGAGTTCAGCAAAAACAGGCAAAACACGATCAGCAGTGTGTGAAGAATCCATAGAGCGGGGCGAATGACTAAATATCTTCATCTTCTCGGTGACGCTACAGAAATTTGCAATTTGTGATCAAGAAAATCAATATCCTGCACAAACTGCATCAGCATGGCAATCACTCTCTAACGTAAAGTGAATGAGACACTGTAAACAAGGTGCCTTCCAATATATAATGAATGCAGAGCAATGACTTACACATCCATCTTGTGCTGCTCCGGTGCGATGACACTAACCAAGTTAAATCCTACTCTGAGCTATAAATCAGCGTCGATGCAGTGGGTTTGCACTGTGCAACAGGTCCGCACAAAGGTGTAATAATGTCAGTTTTATTAGTTTAAATCTCTGTAAGGCCTCTCATAAAAAATGAATGCACTAATGCAAAGGTTAGGTGCTTTAGATAAAACCTTTATTATCTCATGTCAATGGGGTGCTCGCAAAAAAAAAAAAAAGCTGTTTCTGTTTCTTGTAAAACATTCAGAGGTTCCTGTTCTCGGCCCAAAATCTGCACAATGCGTACTTCAGTGAATTGAGTTAAGTTGAGCTAGTCGATCAGTAAGCTAGTGAGTTGTTACACAGTCAGTCAGTCTGTGACAACCTGCAGGCTGGAGTCTGGCTTAGCGCCATGCCTCTGTCAGCAGTTTGGCGGTGAGGCAGAGGAAGAGGAGGGAGCTGAGGAAGGAGCGAAACGAGGAACGGAGAAGGGAGGGGCTGGGGCAGGAATGATGGGCAGCTCGCTAACAGCCTTTTTTGCGTCTATTAGGGCTCCAGTGTAAGGATATGAGACACTACAGGGGGTGGTGGTGGTGGTGGAGTTCTCTCCTGGGCCTGTATCTGACCAACGCACACACATACATGCACAGAGGCACAAAACTGAACAGAGGACAGACCGACTCCTGTCTGTGTCGATAGCTCATAGAGCTTAACCTCAGCAAGCCAGTCGCCTGCTTTTGGCTTGCTGCGGCGGATACTTAGCTGAAGCTTAGAGGGACTTGAGAAGAAACAGTAGCGTTGCCCCAGTAAACAACTGTGGAGGCCTCGGTCCCAGATCAACAACCAAACTCAATAACAAGCAACAAGCGTGCAGTGTGTCGGGGACCCATCTGGACAGTGGTCGACTGAAAGCTGCACTTGTTTTTTATGCCATGAATTCCACCTTTGTTTTTGAGCCAATTTTGAATAATTACAAAAGCAAGGGATTTAATCAGGGACCAGCTGTCTGAAGCAACGTGCGCGTGTGCGTTTTTATGTTTGTGTGAGCCGATGAGGGCCCTGCATCAAAGTGAATCGGGATATCACAGGAGGAGCAGCGATGGCAACATCTGAGGCTTGAGTTCCCGGTTAATATGGCGCACACCAGGACACACTGCCGCATTCCCTGCACACGCACCCGTGTGCAGACCCAGTGCTTATGTGTAAAGAGAAACACTGTCGGCGTGCGGAGATAAGAGCACAGCCATCTGTCTCTCTGTTGCACATAGCTTGAACGTGTGAAAGATGCTGTGTGGTTAATGGGCTCGTACAATGTGCTATTGTCTGCCAAAATAACACAATAAAATCTGGTGAAGTGTGTGAAAGTCAATCCATCCGTCTGTCTGTCACGCGCAGCGTCTCTGACACTACTCATCAGCTTTTGATGAACCTCCGCAGCATCATTTGTTTAAGAAGCTGATTTAATCGGATGTTGATTACATTTTCACAAAAACTAAAGAAACAATCATCTCACTGCTACATTGGGCCACTTGTTAAATTATTCTGATAGGGCTACCAGGGAGCCAGAGGCTGTACTTAATTGCTGGACTTTGCAGAAACTTAAGGTAATGATACGTTGCACCACAGCATTTTAAGATTTTCAAAAACAAAAGTATACTGACCAGGCAAGCGAAAGAGGTGAATTACATTTGTTTGCTCAACTGTGTTTTGTGCAGTTATAACAAAAAACTTTGATGTAACATCGACTGGTGCGAGTAGAACCTGCGAATACAAATCAAAACTGAAAAAAAATATTCTTCTTGTATTTACCACCCTGCTGAATTTGGCTAAAATATCTGAGCACCAATTGTGTAACAAGGAGAGCAACACTATAGTTTGTCCACTACATTACTTTCACTTTTATTTAAGAGTGTAGGTCATCATTATAATGATGTTTAATCACCTGGATGAGGTGTTTAGATGCTGTGATACTAGTCTTCAGTATTCAGGTAAGGGCTTATCCACACTAGAACATGATTTTACACATGCAACCACATAAACACGTGTGTATGTACACACACTTGTTTTAAGAAGTGTGTGAGAAGTGCTGGTGTTGTCACACACCAGCAGCTCAGTTTTACAAACATCCAGCTCGCTGTTACCTGAGCGATTCGGCCATGCGCCGCAGGTCTTCATTCTGCTGCTTGAGCCGCTCCAGCTTGGCCAGAATCTTGGAGAGCTCCCGGCTGGACCGCTCCGGGTGCTCGCTGTCTCTCACCAAGTGACCACCGATGTAGAAGAGGAGCGTGCCCCAGGCCAACAGCACCAGGGTAATCCAACGCCACGAACCCGCCCAGGGCCGCATGGTTCAACCACGCCCACCCGTAAATGCCTCTTGGTGTGCCTGTACACCCACCGACCCACCGGCCTGCCTGCCGGATGTGCGCGCACACTCTGTGCCCCGTCACCACAAGTGCCACAGCGCCAACCTCGGCATCTCTGCAGGGATGGTAGACAGTGAACGGCAGATGAGGGCGGTGCGTGCGTTTGTGGCTCAGGAGTGTTAAAAGAAAAGGCAGCGGGTGTTTCTCCAGAAATCAGCTAGCCTCCCCTGTGTGTGCTAAAGCATGGCTAGCATGCTCAGAAGTATTGTCCCGATTTGTGGATTGGTGTCTTCTCCCCGCCACCCAGCTCCGTGTTGACCAGTCTGTGCCACTCCGTGTCTTGCTGTTTCCTTCCAGTCCCACTGGATTCTTTTATTACAGCTGCATCCTGTTGAAACACAGAAAGACTGGGGTTAGTTAAGCTCATTGCACAAAGTTTTCTCTTGCAAATACTTTATGATCCTGCAGGTCAGACAGAAGCAAATTAGAAGCATTCAGGGGCCGGGACAGTAAGACAGCTTGACAAATATCACAAAGCACGAGACACGCCTCATATAGCGCCACACAGAAGCGGAGAGCGCAGAACAGGGCAGACGGACAGACAGAAACAGCCGAGATGCTGCTGACTGGTCCCGACATAACCCTGTCTCAGCAGCCTACAGGATTGATCAGCATGACACTGCAATTTGCATTTACATAGTGATGTGCAGTCCCTGAGCTATGCTGCACTGCTGTCGAGGCAGGACAGGGATGTTCCACTTTCCACGTCCTGCCTGCCCTTGCACATTCACATTACATACACACACACACACACACACACACACACACACACACACACACACACAGAAGCTACCACACAAACAAGAACACATCTTTTATTTCCTCAAGACCCCACACCGCATCTTTGACCACAGCCTACCACAACACATCCCCAACACACACACTCTCTCTCTCTCACTCAAAGCCCCGACAGTTAATGGATTCGTTTGGAGACCACTAAATCCCACAAAGTTTTCCCAGAGCGTCCCCCCCCCCCCCCTTCCCAAGTGCCCGCTGCCGTTCCCCGTAGCCCCCTTGACAGAATGCAACATTGTCAAGGTGATACTGTGAGCCCGATGGAGCACAGAGAAGGAGAAAAAAAAAATCCTAGATCATCACTTCCCTTCATCCCAAAGCAGTGGGGGAGACGGAGATGGACGCGTGCCGGGTTTATGAAGCAACCTTCACTGTCAACTCCCCCCAACAAAGCCCTGCCACGCAACTGAGACTAGTCGTGTGATGAGATGAAGACTGGCAGGTGTGTGTGTGTGTGTGTGTGTGTGTGTGTGTGTGTGTGTGTGTTTGTGTGTGTGTGCTATCATCTCTGAGTGTGGAGCCGAGCACACTGGAATTATGCCAAGCATCTTAAGACTTTATGTGAGTGGTGGTGGTGGTAGTGGTGGGCGGGGGTTGATTGACATGTCGCGGTGTCTCTGGTGTTTCTGCCTGTGAGCGCTCGAGACTACAGGAAAGTGTTCCTGCTGGGGTTCGCCTGGCAGCACAGAAGTAGGTTAACAGTAACTCATCATGTTTACCGTGGCAGGATGGTTGATATGTCGGACATGAAACGTAAAGCTGTAAAGCGCCGTAGACTGTTCACGCTTTCACTGCTGCACACCGCCCAGGAAACGCAGCGGCTGTGATCGCCGGATGAAACAATGAGGGCGCGAACTTCCTCTCCTTCATTTCTTATTGAATGATGTGGGATTAGTGGAATCTGTGCAGACGTTCCTTCCCCGTCAGTGCGCCTGTTGTGACTAACCCAGGTTGACACAAGGGTTGCTCCTCTTTATGCATGCAGCACGAGGATGTGCTGAGCTGTGTTTTATTATGGAAAATAAGAGCTGCGAGGGGGTAGCACTCCACCAGCTAATGCACGACTGGGACTTTACTAAAAAGTCTGGCTGCAACAACTCTTGTCACTGTGTTTGAGGAGCCATAATGAGGTTTGTGTTCAGCAGACTAAAACTGATAAATATAAAATTGTTGGATGAGGCGAGCCACTGCCGCCAAAGAGGATATGGGAGATTTTGGAGATAACACTTCTCGCTAGTTGTGCTTACACTTGAAAGTCAACCCAAGCTAAAATATATTACAGGTGTATTAATAGAACTTTGGGGAAATTAACATGGACGACTTGGAGTTAATGGTCTACCTGGGACACTGTGACATCAGTCAAGGTAATAGAGGTAAAAGCTTACCCTTGCTATGCACCTAACTATAACAAAGACAATGTATCTTACACGTAAAAGTCTATTTACTGTATATGAACAGCACTAAAACAGCTGTATAGTGTCCTCTGTGGCTTTGAAGGGATTGGTCCAAAGTCTGAGAAAATAACCCTCATGGTATTGTCAGGTTTATCTGGAGTTAGGCAACAGATTGCAAATATTTGACAGAAAACCTACAATTCAAAAGGCAGGGAAGGGCTAATACAATATTCTGTTGAATTGCATTATGGGAATTGTAGCATCCAGCTTGACTCAATGTCAGGGTATCTCACCCTCCGCTCCTTTCATTTGGACTGTTTTGACTTTTTCCTTTTCTTCATTTTTCTTCCTCCAACTTCATGGAAGAGCCACACTAGATTGAGGGATAAGGTACTCCTTTAATAGCTTTAAAATACAATGGTAGCATAATATCATCTGCAAGGTCAAAAGAAAAGAAAAAAAAAAAGATCAGCATAATCAGATATAAGAGACCAAGCACACTGGAAAAACACCTCTGTCACACTTAAGGTCATAAATGTGGGTTCTGGTTGTAGGAAATGGTGATGGAGTCTGCTGATCTCACAGTTGGTGAATGTGTTACACAGGCTAGCACCATTTATAGCAAAAGCAAACTCACCCTACTGTTTGAATCTGAGTTGTAGAACAGCGTGAGCTAATCTGGTCACATTACTGGGAGCACACAGTGGGTAGAGGTTAGGTAACAGAACCTGGGATCAACCACTTGCAATTGAACAATCATCATTAAAAGAGGTGTACTCCACCTCAGAGCGTACAAACCCTGAAGGATTATCGGTTAATTCTGTTTGAAAGTGAAAGTCATCTTTACTAACTGCACACAATGGTGATTATGAAATCCAGTCAATGGCTTCAGAAAATGAGTGAAAAAAGTCTTACTGTTCATTTTCAACATGCCTTTCAGCTTAGCCTTGGCTGTGATGAAGTGGCAAAGAAGCAGAGAAACACACTCACGGTCCTTGATTCAGCGGCTTCAGATTGCTGTGTTTTAGAAGTGAAAGGATGGAGACATCTTTTGAGTCCTGTGTCAGTAGGATGTGGTCTGATTAAAGAGAAAATGATACTCTACTATTTATTCTGCTGATGAAGTCTGACAGTGTAATATTCCAGCAGAGATATAGCGCAGTGTGAGCCCCGCGCTCAAGATTTCTGCATTTCCTCCAACCTCACAGATCTGCCCTCGAGTTGCCACGAACAGGGCGCTACATAAATAATGGAAATTATAATAATGTCACTTAAATAAAAAATAAAAAAAGTTCCCCACTGTGGCACAATCATTTCTAAGTCGGACTGTGTGACAGATATGCTGACAGTGGGGTTTTAGAGATGTTAGTCATATAGTGCCTCTTTTTTAATTCCGCTTTCTTCCACCAAGCCCCTCCTGCTATCCTCCGAGTAAAGTGGAATATGATTGCGAGGACAAAATTAAATATGTGTCTGCTTACTCTTGAATGTGCAGTCCTCCTACTTTATCAGTGGAGGGAACAAGTGGGCCTTTGCCGTTCATAATGGAAGCACTTGTCTGCACCACCTACACACTCTTCGCTCCCCAAATCTTCCTCTCAACCTTGTGTTTCAAACATCATCATTCATCGTCAGTGCCCTTCACCTTGCTGTCACGGCAACCGAGCGGGCTCGGGCCGGTAAAGGCTGGAGTGGTGCGTGTGGAACCACGGGGGCGAACTGTCACCGCTGTCACAAAATGCCCCAGCGCTGCAGCAACACGCGGGAGCCCGAGGGGTCAGCGGAGATGACCTGTTTCCAGTCCTGCTGGTGAGCCTTCAACGTGACTCAGGCTGCAGCAGAGGTCATCTATCAGCGGGCTCCGGTCTGCAGGCAGTTAGCACTGCGATGAGGTCCACCACTGAATTATGCATGGAGCTTGGCTAAGGACCGCTTCTATTACACCAACACGACCACTGCTGCTCGAGGACAACCAGAAGGGAGCCCCGTGGGGCGCATGCAGCGGGGTGTGGTACATGTTATGGCATGTAGCGTGGCAGCAGGGATAGAACGCATGTGTCTGGAAACAGACAGGTAGGATGGAGATCAGGCACAAACACGAAGCAGCTTTGAAACAAAAATAGAAAAACTGTTTACACATCTATAGCTGTGATGCAGAAACCTCTATTTGACAGATGTACCCGAATGTGACCTACGACTGGATGGCAGATGTGTTTTAGAAAATTTGAATTTTCCACTCCAGCATATCACCAGCATGAGACCCGATGAGTACAATGCAGAGAGCAGCTTGCAGGTGTCTGAACTACAGAAAGGCAGCAAGAGAAACATCAACTCCAACTGTGGCGGCAAATTTTAACCATTATTTATCCAGGGATGTTTCGCTGAGCAAGCTGTTCTTGAGAAACAGCCTTCTTTGTAGCTGTAAAAGTACACTCATTTCACCCTGACGGTTGCACAGTACAGCCAGAGTTTCCTGTAAATGGTCACTGAGCTGCTTTTCTGGTTATTTTCTCAGCTGGTCTGGAGGTCCGAGCCAGCGACCTCTCAGCCTCTAGCCTAGTTCCCAAGAGAGAGATCACACTGGTACAGAGTGGACACATTTTAAATATAAGAACCGTATCCACACATGAGACACTTAGTGGTGGATCCGACACAAGACAGAAAAAATGTCAGTGGGTGACACTTGTATTTATACTTGTATTTTTGACCTGTATCTATTCCAAAAAGAAGCAGCGACAAGAGAAAACACCACAAATGCTTCAGGAAAAAACGACTGCGACCTGAAAAGTTTGCTACCCTGTTCCCTTCCATTCACAATAATAAAAAAAAAAGTCACCATTAAATTTTGAGAGTGACTGTGATTTTTTTTCTTTTCTTCTCCTCATCAATATGAATATCAGCAAACATCTGACTCACTCAGCAGCAGAGTGCACCCACCACCAACGCTCCCTTTTTGCTTCTCAGTTGGCTCAAAGCCGAGATGCGGAGACTCCCTCAGCTTTTTGGGGCGCCCCCAGTGTTTTCTATGCACGTGTGTGCCCATGAGTGGGTGGGTGTGTGTGTGTGTGTGTGGAAGCTGCACGCACACGTGGACACACAGACAGACAGACAGACAGACAGACAGACAGAACACACACCC